AGAAGTGGTTTGCCCTTGCCTCCTTCCTAGGGCTGAGAGAGAGGGACTGGCCCAAGGTCACGCAGCTGGCTTTGTGCCTAAGGCAGGGCTAAAATTCATGGTCTCGCAGTTTCTAGCCTGGTGCCTTAACCACTAGACCAAACTGGCTCTCACATTGCCTTGGTAGCAGCTTTTTCTTCTGTCCTTCAAAGCCATTCCCTCTTTCCCCTAGTCTGGTAGGAAAATGTGCTACATAGGTCCATAATTCAGGAATTCTGTCTTAGTAGTTGTGTAGGAGAAAAATCTAGGTTAATCAGCTGAACATGAGCAAGTAGTGTGATGTATCAACTAAAAAGGTCAGTGGAATTTTTGCTCCATTAACAGAAGCATTGCATCTAAATTGTGGCAAGTGATTGTTCCACTGTACTCTGTGATTATTAGATGACAGATGAGGTATTATGTCCATTTCTGGGCACTGCTCTTTAAAAGAGGCTGGGAGAAGCTGGTGTGGTTTCAAAGAAACTGAACAGGTTTAGTTGGAAAAGAGAAGGCTAACAGAAGATACAATTATAGCCTATAAATACTGTATGTAAAGGGGTGTCCCATGCAGTTTTCATTGAAAATGAGAGCAGGACAAGGGTCAGTGGGTTGAAATTAGAAGTGAGCAGATTTAGGCTGAATCTTAGGAGGAATTTCCTGATGATAAGAGCTGTGAAGCAGTCTGCCTATAACAGTGTGGACTCCCACCTCCTCATATTGTCAAATGGGTTGTGGGCCATCTATGAGGAATGGTTTAGTGGATCCTTGCACTGAGCAAGGGGTTAGATCAGGTGACAATGAGGTTCCTTCCAACTCATACATTCTGAATTTATATCTGAAAACTCAGTTAAACATAAGAAACGCCATTTAACATTCACAGCCAGTGCTGTGAAATACATCAATTTCTGACTTTCAAAAACTGCACTTATTAGAACTCATCAATTTCTCACTTTCTGGGAGAAAACATTGTGGTTTGCAAGTAAGGGATTGAAAAAGAAATTTTCAATTGGTGGGCTTGACCAACTTCAGCAAAACAACCCACAGAAAAAAACAGAACGTGCCATTTCCTTTGAATAAACAAGTAACATTTTGAAAAGGAAAAAAAATATGAATCCCATAATGATGACTATTGATCTCAACCAATCTCCTGTTGAACGTGTGGAAAAATCACAGATTTTGTATTGGTCAAGACAAATATGGATCTGTGTGTGTATTTGGGAGGAGTGTGGAACTCTGTTACACAACTTGTTCAGTCATCCTTAACACAAAATAAGATGCATATAATTTCATGAATGCCAGCACTTTTTCATCTTATTCTTAAAATTAAAAATGTAGCCTGCCCATTTCTGGATTTGTATTTCTGCTTAAATAAGGATCATTTAAATATTCATCCAGTGAAGTACGCCTTGGTGGTCAAGTGGGTGTTTTTTACTGCAGATGTTAGACACATATTATGTGGTAGTTAATTAATATTTGTAGTATCTTCTTCCCCAAGTCCTGCAGCAAACAAATTCAGGGGAGGAGAGACCCTTTGAGCACTCTAAAGCTTTGGTGTGCTTTCAAAATGCAAAGCATGGTAAATATATGAGTCTGTCCTTCCTGCTTATCTCTGAGTCTGAGTAGGCTTAGGGATGAGGAAGCATTGCCATGTGGCCTCTGTTTTTGTGATAGGGAGATTCTCACTGATTCTGAAGCAGAATAGAGCATTTGCTTGCATACTGGAGACTTGCAGTTAAATCCCTAATATCAGGGGCCTCCTTATCCAACATGATTCTGCTCATCCTTTCCAGATTTCTAGAGAGTGTCTGCTCAAGGTCCCACCTCAGTAAGAAGAGTGTGGGCCAGAAGAGAGGCCTGTGCATTGGCCCTTACATTATGGAATACAGTGCTCATAGATATGTGCCTTCTCTGCGGTAGCCCCCACACTTTGGAATATCTTGCCCCTAGAGGTGAGATTGGCC